CGGGTCCGGGCTCACCCGTGTCTCAGTGCTAGACACTTTTGCCCCGGCACGTGGGCCTATTAACCTCCCTGGTGGCTCACCTCCTTGGCCGGATGTTATCTTTCGATAACGTTGCTATCCATGGAGGCGCTTAGCCCTAGGGCTGGGCTTTTGGTCGTGGTGCTGACCTTTATTTGCTGGCCTTAAGACTCTTTGGTTGGCTGCGTGTTGTAACAGAGCGTAAGGGCCTTCCGCCTCAACTCCCGCCTACTAAAGTCCCCAATGTTTAAATTCACCTAACTTTATCTTAGGTGGATTATTGTCAAATTTAAACAGTTTTTCCTACGGGTGTCCCTTTACCAATGATGTGTTAGCCACCTATTCAATTATCCAAATGTTCCTGAGTTGTGAATTTTGAATATATTTTGATGAGTTTGAACTTTGCGTACTTAGCGTACTTATGTGGTTCTAAAAAAATTAACTCAATCTCTAGGTGTATTTCACCTAATTTTGACATTTATCACCGCTTTGACAATGTTTGGTTTTTAATTTTGACTGCTTTTCCAAAGGATCTCGTTTTAATGTTGGGTCTTCCAGGCCAAAGTGAAAACATAGGTTGTAGACTTATTTTCGAACAGTTGGCCGCGCAGCCCGGACTCTAGTTTGTGTCTTCATGACTCTATTTCTTGTGAAATAATAACAGCGGACGTTAAAGAAGAAAGGCAGGAGATGAACATACTGTTTACCTATTGATTGCCTGTCATTTAAGATAACTCGTTCGATATTTTCTCTGAAATGGTCCACTAATTTATATATCAGAAGTTAAAATACGAATGCGACTTGACGAGAACATGGAATACCTGTTACCAATATCAACCCCCGGTTAGCAGAGTCGGTAGATCACGGGCAAGAACAACCTTAAGATGAATACGTCTTCCTGTTTGCTTTTTATAAAAGATGATAATGTTAAACATTACTGAAAAAATACCTTAAACATTCACTTTCATAGTGAATTTACATATTTTTGCGAAAGTTGTCTTTATAGTAGGTAAACATTTGAATTATTTGACATTAGAGTTTGACTTCGTCACCCAAATATGTTGATTATTTATCCAACCATGCTACCTAGTTTATTTTTAATAAATTTGCTTAGACGTTTTTTTTCTATTTTACGGTATCATGAATCACATGATCGAACTGAATCGAGAGAACTCTTGTTATTTTTTGAAACATCTAATTATGCAAGAGACTTGTTGGGTTCTGACTAATTGCAAAATACCTTTATCTACTTTTAATTTAACCCATGGTTTATCATATGTGATATATTTTCTTTCAGTTTTGCAGTTGACCATTGGCGTAAAAGTGGTAATGACATTTTTTTCATACGTTTGCTTTATCTATTTACCACACTGAAGAGCTTGTCAACAAACATTCTGACATTATCGTAACAATATCGTTTTATATTCAAAATATCCTAATCCCAAACAAAATAGAAAATATCCAAAGAAAAGCGAAGTGACTAAATATAAAGTATACGTTCCCAGCACATGTGACACAAACATATTGGAAACAGACGAAAAGACGTCGGACTGGTTCTTGATTATCACATATTTATCTTGCTTTCAGAAGGCATAACTAGTGTTACACAGTTAATATCTTCCGATTATTAACGTCAGATCTTGAAAGAAACTTCCAATGTAATTCAATACTATTAACAGTTTTACTCTTTCCCACTTTTATTACAAGAATAAATATGGCGGAGGAAATAGATAGTCCAATGTAATTCAATACTATTAACAGTTTTACTCTTTCCCACTTTTATTACAAGAATAAATATGGCGGAGGAAATAGATAAATTTACGATTACAACAATATTGTTTTTGGTCGTCCAGAATTGCATGCTGCACTCCGCAAGAGACGAATAACCGAACGCTTGAAATTTATGTGTATTCCTACAACCAATCCCGAAATTATTTCACAACATTTCACAACATAGTAGAGACTGGTACAAGAATTTAAACATTCAATTTGCTTAATCAACTGCTATTGGGAGATAAATGTACAACCAGCAGGTTCGAAGAAATGAGCAAAATGAGTTCTGAGAACTGGTGCAGTTGTTTTCTGATATTGTACAATACTTTCCAAACAATACACACACACACACGCATATATATATATATATATATATATATATATATATATATATATATATATATATATATATATATATATATATATATATATATATATATTGTCTTTAATTTCTTAATCGTTAAGGCTCAAGCAAGATGGACGTTAACTCAAATCAGAATTTACTTTGAAGATTGCTTTTTGCCCGATTATATTCTCCAACCCGCGTCCAAGAGACAACCATTTAAAAACTGAAAAACTACGAAGAAAAATGTTTACTTTACTAATTAATGTGATTGCTGTTGTTTTGATAAAGAAATTGGTTTCTCTGGAAGTTTCATTTACCTACTAAATGTTGTTCGCAATATGTTAAGTTATCTGCGTCGATTTCGAAAATTTATTATCTAACCCATTTCCTCGTCAGTATTTTAACTGATGAACATAATGATAGAAACAGACATTTAAGCAAACACATACAACACAAATATATAAGCAAACATGTACATCACAAATACATAAGCAAACACATACAAAACAAGTACGTAAGCAAACACTTATAACACAAATATATAAGCCAACACACACAACATAAATACATAAGCAAACGCATACAACCGGGGGAGATTATGTCTTCATGACTTACATCTATGTGTAAGAAACTTAAGAAATTATTATACTTAATGCCATTTGATTCCCTGTCAACTCGTTAGATCCCTTTTTTCAATTGACAACTGATTCTGATTTTTAATCAGGAACCATGAATTGAATGTAATTTGAAGAGAAAAGGTAATAGTCGTTATCAATATCAACCTTCCTGGCTCTGTCGATAGAGCACCGTACTCTTAATCACGGGGTCTTGGGTTCGAGCCCCACATCGGGCATGTGCATTTTAACAATTATAAGTTCCTCAGTGTTTAGAAGCACACTTCTCATAACCAAGTTGATGAGTTAAGCGATACTGAAAAATAATATTTTGCCCTTTTTCTCAAAATTGCACATTCATGTGTTTTGTTGAATTTGCTTGTACGGCAGTGAAACATTTGAATTATTTGACGCTTAAGTGAAATTTCGTCACCCAACCATCTTGTTTGCTTTTGAAAACCATGCTGTTTATTTTTATTGCCAATAAGTGTTTGGCAATGTTGCCTTGGGAACGAGAAATTGCACGAATAAGTTAAATAAACAAGTTATTTCCTTCTTGTTTTTATTAAATAAATATTCTGTAAAAGAATTAATGTTCTTTGAAAAGTCCCAAATTTCATGTAGCTAATTATAACTGATCTATCATTCTAACATCGGCAGTTAATCTTTGTTGTCAATTTGGCAATAGCACACTTAGGGTTATTCCACACCAAAGAGTTTGGTTACTAATGTTCTAACATAATGAGATGAATAATCCATTTTATACACAATAACAATCTCAGATGTTAAAGACAATAGTCAATATGTAGTTTTAGGACTAAACATAAGGTATATATTCATTTATATGTGACACAATCAGACTGGATGCTGCAGTATCACCAAGCATACAGAATTGTTGTGTATCCGAACAATCATTTGCTAACGACCAAAATTCGTGATTAGGTGACAATAATTTAGACCTTTAAAACTACCACGTAATTATAAAAATATAAATCCTTAACAATTACCCTGAATGCAGTTGCTTGCCGAAGAAATAGATTTCACTTAAAGTTTAATTTTGTATGCTTAAGGCTGTTCACAACAAGCGACTATTCGAAAATGTTTTAATTACGAAACTAAATGATATAAACATGCATGTAAGGAAATACACTTAACACAAATACATTTAAAACAAATACCTAAGCCAAGACATACCACGAAAGGGTTCTCAGTCTTCAAGATACAAATACAAATGTGATATTTCAATTATATATTAAATAATGAAAGCGGACGTTGAAGAAGAAATTCTGGAAATGAATCTACAGTCTGCTTTTGCTTACCTGTGAATTAATATACCTCGATCGATCTATTTTCTGAATTGATTCAATGATCTATTATTATTACATATAAATACGGTGTAACTTGATGAGAAAATGCAATAATTGCCATCAGTATAAGTCCGGTTAGTTCAGTCGGTAGAGCACGGAACTATTAATCCCGCGATCGTTGGTTTGGGATAGTATATTTAACAGTAAATGCAACTTCTACATGCACATTTCTGATAACTATGTTGTTTAATATTAGAGTGAGCAATCCTCTACAATAATGAAAAGTAACATTTTGCACTGTATCTTAAGCTTTCACTGTGCATCATTATGAATTAACATGTTTTCTTGAATCTTTTTCAATGCAGGCAAGCATTTGATTTCATTGTCTTTTGAGTTTAACATGGTCACGCAGATATATTGTTTATCCATTTAAACATAGAGCTAGATCTATTTCCAGTTAAGGTTTTTGTAGAATTTTCCACATTTCTTTGTTACAGGGAATGATGTAATTGAATTGATTGAATGAAAGCGTTTCTGAATCAAAACATTGTTGCATGGGACTGATTGGACTTATTTTATTTATTTGAGTCAAAGAAATTCCGAGTAACTCGTAAAAGTTGTTCACAACACGTTGTTTACAATTTTTTCTAGAATGCAACATCTGACCTATATGTATGTGCCTATTTTGAATTATGGCCAAGTTATGTGATGTGGTATGATTATGAATTTTAACGTAGCTTTACAAAAATTTCAGTCATATCGCTACGATACCTATAGTGTGGCAGTTTATAGTGATGTCTAGCACTGGGGCATCATGCCACAGACATGTAGCATGATGTTCCACCCAATCACATAATCCTAACACCAGTCATAACACTAACATATTAATTCTGAGCATCAAGATACACAGCTGTTAGTACCATTTTTGTAAGTCTTTGGTATTACTCAACCGGGCATCGAACCCACGACCTCCCGAATCCGAGGCGGACGCTCTAACCACTAATCCACCAGAGCGGTGGCCAAGTTACGATATGTCTCTCAATGAATTTTCTTCAGTTATAATGAATTCTGTTGCTCACCGTGTTGGATAACTAAAAGTGTCTAATATCCAAAAATAACATGAAACGAAAATTACTAAAAAGGTCAAAGGCCTAAGTTGGGGTTCATTTCTTGGGTTTGCTTGTAATTGTGTATCACGTAATATGTATGTGTGTATAATATGAAACAAGGATAAGAGTGCAAAGTGCTATGTAACGGAGACTTTATTAAAAACAAACGGCATTCTGATAAGAAAAATGTATATAGTGGGTGGTTGAAATGAAAACTAAGTTAATTATGTAAGGGAATTTTGATATTAACTATAATATTATTTATTATTAAAAGTCGCGCTCTTTCATTTATACCTCGTTCGTTTACGCTGCAAAAGGATGAAGAAGCACGCAAACGACAACAACCTAATTAAACGACTCAGCTTTGCGCTAAACATCCACTTTCTGTCACGATCAACAAATCAAACGTTTTACTTACATATATACCAAGCCCACCCAGTTGAAGCAAGTTATATAGAGATAGTCTTAACAGTAATATAACTTTATATAAGCAGTAACACTAATAGATATGCCGATATAGTAAAGACATATGATGAATAATCCAATTCATTGAAAAATCGAGGAGATTTCTCCATCTCCATCTCTCTCCTTGACAAAGGTATTAAAAAATGCCAAAACCGTAATGGAGTGCTTAAACGCAATCTGCAATCATAAATCAAATTCATCTCTTAACCATCATGAATTAATTATGAGCTTTAAATGTCATCCACTGCATGTTCACATAGTTTATTCCAGCCTTAGGAATGAAAAGATGATTGTTGTGGGTTTGTTCACTCGACGAGGTTCAAAAGGGCACCTTAATGTTGTCATAAATAATCATAAAATGTTTATTCTTCTGTGCATAACTATCGCATGCAGTCTCCATTTCAACTCCGATGTTCATATTATTGTTACATTCACCAGAAACCATAAATAAGTATGAGCAAGTAGCTGTGACATAAGCGTCTATTGATTGTGATCAAGTACATGAGGTGGCAGGGTACAGTTTCGTAAATTGGTCCCTGGCAAATTTCATTACTTAAGGCTATAGTGTGACTTTTTCAAATATTATTGTTTCCTAATTAAAGGTATTTATAAAATTTTGAAATAGATGTTTCGGGCTTGTGTTGTTCTTGAAAATGATGTTAGGCATGTACACATTCCATAGTTACTCTGCAGTATGTTGATAGTCAAATACTAATATTCGGCTAGGAATAAGAGATAGCCTCCCATAGCAGTAAACAGGTGGGTTTGGGACAAGTAGAATATCACAAAAACGGCTTGAATGATACCTAGTTTCAATTGCATCAGCACAATGGGAAAAAGAACTTCCGGTCTTCTCCAAAATCTCAGCCGTGACAGGTATCAGATCCAGCGATATTATACGTTTGTCACTGCGCTATCTAATATTTGGAAACAAAATAGTTTTCGGTCCAAAAAAACCCTAAACTTTGGGTCTCATTCATTAGAGATAAGGTACCCGTCAAAGGGTGGATCAGGTTTGCATGTTTTGCCTAGCTCTCTTTCCAAGATATCAAATTATTAAAATTTAAAAGTAGGAAACGCTCTTTATGAGAAAAAAACAGGAGGGGAACTAAACCCGTTGGATATAAATATGTTTATAAACGTTTAACGATGATAAGTGGTTTTGAAAGGACTGAAATGCACATCTGCTCATCAATCTGCGATAATGTAATAGGATAATTTCATTTCGTTAGATAACAGAGGCTACATTAGATGCAATATTTATTGATGCTAGTTCCCAAGAATCGTACGATAGGTGTCTAAGATGCATGCCTTGAAGTTGCGATATATATATATATATATATATATATATATATATATAAATATATATATATATATATATATATATATATATATATATATGATAGCGTTATATCCAACTAGTAACATGCTCTGGATATTACTCGTGCTTGTCTCTGTTACTGAACTAGTTACATGGACCGGAAAAAGCAAATACTTGATTGTAGTGTTCGTTCTTGTCTCTGATACCGAACTAGTTATATGGATCGGACATTGTAAATACCTTATTGCAGTGTTCGTGCTTGTCTCTGATAGCGATATAGTTATATGGACCGCCCATGGTAAATACTTTATTGCAGTGTTCGTGCTTGTCTCTGATACCGAACTAATTACATGGACCGGACATTGTAAATACTTGATTGGAGTGTTCGTGCTTGTCTCTGATAGCGAACTAGTTACATCGACCGGACATTGTAATTACTTGATTGTAGTGTTCGTGTTTGTCTCTGATACCGATAACCTTTATTATCATTCTGAAGCATTAGTTCATAGATGCAGAATTATACAAAGCTAATGCGAGAAAAATTGTCAGGAAATTTCATTTTGATTCCTACATGATGTTAATTTTTCCTGAGTTTTGACTTTTGGGTTGTATCCATTACGAGTACATGTACAAAAATGATTATTTGCCCCATCCTAACCAATGGAGATGTTCTAGATTTCATTTACTATAAAATTCAACATTGAAATCACAACTATTATATTTAATATAACCTTTATGGAGAACACTTATCAAGGTTTAATGACGTCATATTGGACAAGGAGTAGGTATTTATTTTACAGATAGCAAAATTAAGGAAACTATTCTGTTCATTACGTCCACTAAATTTAGCCTTTTTATCTCTACTTCTTTGTCATGGTACACAGATAGACAGACAAAAGAGGATTATACGAATTAGCATAGCGAAAAAAAGAACTTCAGCATATTTTCATTTTTTAGTTTTATTTTTTTTTTGCTCTTACAGGTACAACAGATAAGATCACACGAAAAGTTAATAATGTAACATTCATAAAGTAAACATTTAAATTTCCTAATATACCAAACTCATATGGTATGAACAATTTCACTCTTCATAACCATTGCCCTCACAACTAATCATCTCTTTTTATCTTCAAAAATTCAAGTAAGACGGTCAGATATTTAAAAATTCTATATTTCCAACAACCTTAACTTGGGCAAATTTTGTCGACGGACGTAACCTTGAAGGTATAAGAACAATTGTATTTTAAAGTTGCTTATTTTCCTGCCTGTCGTTTCTATTCCTTTAGAAAATGAGGCTAAAATTTTATAATGAGTGCACCTGCAATGCGTGATAAAATGAGCGGTGCTGAATGCAACTATATCAAGTACAAATTTATTTCCGTCCAAAAATGTCCTTTAGTCTCAAAACGTCACACGTTCCATTTTTTGTCATCTTTAAGATTTAACTTTTCTCGTTAATTTCTCGCCCGCAATAATATAATACCGTGACATAGTGAATAACTTAAATGTACATTTGACAGTCTATTAAAGGAGGAGAAAGGGTAAAAAATATTTCAGTATACAAAATGAAATAGCCGAATATTATGTCACGGATAACAGTGTCTCATTATTAAAACAACGATTATATTAATAACAACACTAATACTAAGAACATCGTTGCTACTTCTACTACTGCCGCTACAACAACTACTACTGCTACAACTACTACTACTACCACTAATGATGATGATGATGCTGATAATAATAATAATAATAATAATAATAATAATAATAAAGTAATAATAATAATAATAATAATAAAGTAATAATAATAATAATAATAATAAAAATAATAATAATAAAGTATTAATAATAATAATAAGGTAATAATAATAATAAAGTAATAATAATAATAATAAGGTAATAATAATAATAATAATAATAATAATAATAATAATAATAATAATAATAATAATAATAATAATAATAATAATAATAACTATGACAAAGAATTGTAGGTTGTAATTGAATAATGAAGTAAATTATTTCATTGACATTTGAACTCTAACCTGATAATGAATTTTGTTTAATTTCAGTGGGTATTAAGTCAAGAAGACTGAAAAAAGGTACCCACAACCGTAGGTAATTATGAAATTTTACCTTTCATAAAAACTCAGTAAATGTTTTGTGACAGTCTATTTATCAAGCTAAAATCATACTTTTTTGTCGTCTTATTTTATTGGTTCTGATGTTCTTACCTCCCTTCCAAAATCTTCATTTGCATTTGCTCATGGCTGACTACGTATCTGAGAGATATACGATAGTCCTTTACCTCGATATACTTTTGTATAGACCCGTAAGAAAAGGGACCATTCTAATGGCGAAAGCTACGAATATTTCTCCTAAAGAACTGCTTAAATGATCAGAATTATATTTTTATTGTCATGTTGTTTAGTTCATTCACAAACAAATATAATGAACCAAAAATGAATGTAGGTTTCCTACCGTTCTAGATATAAACGGATAAACCTTAGGCACGAATTTGTTATTATATCAGTCTACGACCTATGAAACATTAAATAGTCTCATCCATTGATATACATTAAATGTCTTGCAATAAACTCTGTTTTGTATATAAATTGCACCAGATAAATGGTGAGTTACTCGTATATTAGTGTCATTACTAGCAGTGCATAATCAACCTTTTCATTGTATGACATTTCATATTCAGCTATTATACCGCTATTTAAATTTCAATAAATCATTGGACTTAAGAATTAAATTACCTCCCTGGGAGTCTTTGTTGTCGCCATGTCTCAATATATTTCTAAACTTTCACGTGTGGTTTGAATATGACATAATATTCTGCAGCAGATTTGTCTGCATCGTGTACGTCAAGATATTCTAATAGATTATTGGTCATCATAAAATGTAGACTAATCTCACAAAGACGCCATGTTCATGTATCGATCTCCTATTGAATGTAAGATAACCTTGATTGCAAAGGTTATTTTTAAAAAAACACGTTGAATTTTGAACAATTTGATTATTTATAAATCTGTTGTGAAACTGGTGAAGTAATGGAATCTATGTCAACAATTTGAACTTACCCTAATGCATTTGATGCATTGGCTATTTTA